AACCACCTCCTCCAATTCTAAACACATGGAAATACATTAAAATCATCTAATTTCAACCCCGAAACAAAAACTTTGTTGTGTTGTGTAATTATTGTATGAAGCTACAAAAACACAAATCATCAAAACGGACAAAACTTTCGAAACATCTTAATAACACAAGCAAAGTTATTTTAGCAACATTGATATTGCATACATGTTTGTTTTTTTTTCGTTAACCAGCTATTGCACCCCTACGAACGAAAACCCTCAGAAGTCGAAACTTGTGCGAGCTAAGGACTAACGAGGTCTCACCTTTCAACACATACATGAAGGCAACTGGAATCTATCAGAAAAGGTTTATTCGGCTGACTCAAAGACTCTACCTCTGCTGAAATGTGAAATTCAAATACCAACGAATCTTTGTTTTTAGGTCTAGATTGCTGATCATAACATCTTTCACAGCTTAATTTTCATGCACTCGTTGGAAAGTGTAACTTCACATACACAGGTATGACGATGCACCTAATCTGGATTTGCATTCATCTGAATAAATATTTCATATTATCCAAACCATTCTAGTCACTATAGGAACCTAATAAATATTGCTCTTACTGTCATTGTGAAGCAGCGACATGATTCATTACAAAGTTTTTAATTTTTTAGAGAGTAATCAATGAATCACTACTGATCATTTTGATTGTGAGTATTGATTTTATGTTTCTTCACTTTCTAATTCGTAGTGCTCTGAAAAATTTCCGATTCAGGATCCGAGGCCATTTTACGAGAATGTGCATTTATATTTTGTTCAAAAATAGTCTGTAGTATTAAGAAAAATGAAATGTTCGTAATAATGTTCGACAAATTTTCGTAAAACATTAAGTTCTTTCATTGTTCATTTCTTCAGTTTGAAGATTTAGTCTGTTCTTCCATGTCCTACCAATTGATTAACTCAGTCTGAAGGGACATATACTATTTTCGTAATAGAATTAAATTTCAAAATGTATAAGAATTCGGGTGTAATACGAAGTATATCAACGAGAAAAATATCCATATTCTTTCAAGGAGAATATTCACTTGAATGTGATTATATATGTACCTTTAGAGTAAAAAGATAAAAAGAATATTGAACAATTTCAATACTAACTCATTTGTACACCATTAGATCCTAAGACCTGTAATTACACTTGCTCCATGGACCATTGAATATTCCAGAGTCAGAAAGTACGAGCCGAGTTTTATCAAAATAAAAATCATAGGAGTGGTTTCTTGAATGTAAATAGCAATTTCACATCCGTGAACCATATTTTGGCACGATTCCAGGATTCTAAAAATTTACTGAATGACCAAATTGTTGAATATGTTTTCTAATGTGGAAAGTTGACTTGGATATCACACCAATAGGTGGTTCCACTTATGTCACGCTTGCGTTCACGTAGTTATTTTTATCAAGTAGTTCTCTTGGTTATTCACATTCTTCAATGACCCGTTTGTCCTTCTGGCAAATATCAGTTCAAAGGGTAAGAGAGCCAGGCTCCACCCTGTTCGAAATCAAGATGACGTGCAAGAGGTCACATTCTTCAAACGAGGACCGCCTGCTGAAACAGCTGTCTACCGGTAGCTCTTAAATTGAAATCAATATGGGAATGATCAGAATAGTACCAATTTGCAATGCGACGTTTCCTTCATTGGATTTCATCATTAACTTTTTTTTTAAGACAAAACACAAGCACTACAGGAAAATCCTTAAAGCGTTCTCAGAGCGGTGCCTGTGCGAAAGTAGCGATTCACATTGGATTTGAATCGCTGGAGATTAAATACATTTGGAATAACGTTCTTAGGAATTTTATTCCACTTGAACGCAGTTCTCCAGATGAAAGAGTTCTTAAACAGTGAAGTTCGAGGTGTACTGAACTGATCCTCAAAACGATGAGCAGCCAGTGCGTCGCGTATTTCTGATATGTACCGCTCTTGGTGGAATCAAATGTGCCAAGTTACTTGAACACCTCCTGTGAAATTATCTATAGAAAAGAGACAAATCTCCAACCTTTCTTCGATGTTCCAGGCTATCAAGGCTGCACGTGATGGCTGCAACTTCAGGGTATGTTTGGGGGCGGAGCTCCATACATGAAAACAATACTCCAAAGAAGGTCGGATCTGAACTTTATAAAGCATCAAAAGTGTATACAGGGTGTAACATGAGTACGTTAAAATATTTAACGTACTCATGTTACGTATTCCTGAGACAATTTTTAGGAAAAAAGTCTATTTGAACTTGAGTCCGAAAATGCTTTGTTTCGGAGATACGGGGTGTTGAACTTGAATTTTTTTGTTCGCTTTTTGAAAAACATTCTTGCAAAAAATAAGTTATCCGCACGAAATTTGGTACCCGGGGTTTTTTTGATGTGGGAAATCATAATTTTGTAATAATTTTCATGTAACATCTAGAGGGCGCTGCGTACGTTGTCATTATTTATTTCAAATTGCCCTAACTTTTTTGACAGTAAACTTTTGGTACTTTTCATGAAAAAACCTGATTTCCACACCTTTCCCAAGTAAAAAAGGTACACCTCCTTAATAACGCTGGAGGTGACGTTTTCGAGATATTTACAATTTTCTATATCGATGCATATTACTTAGCTCTTAGGGCGCTAAGTGAAGTTGCTGAGAACATTACAAAAAATAAGTATGTGGTGGATTTCGTCAAAATAAACAACTTTTTTCTATAAAATGTTTAAAACGAAGAATGATTCGTTTTCGAAATACAGATTGTTGAAATTTTTCAAAACATGGTAGGTTTTTATCATACGTTTTTTGCAATTATAGTTATTTTCATCAAACTTTATACGCAGTATACGTACAGACTTCTTCTGAAATGAGCATTAGCAAACTGCTTATTCAATACAAATTAAGAAAATTTGTCAGGTTTAATTATTCAATTAGAAAGTGCTACATTCCGGAGTTTGTAATTCGGAGAAGTACCATGTTATTTATTAGGAAAATAAACATATAAAAATTGAACGAAACAACTATTACAACAACTGTTCAAAGTGACGACCCCCAACAGTAATACAAGCTTCTGATCTCCTCATCAAAGTCCAGTGACCTCGGAGACCAATGCTCAGTGCCTCCTTTTCTTATCCATCGTTGGGAATATACCACGTCTAAAAAAATTCTTGCTATCACACTTAAATGAGCAGGAGCTCCATCGTGCATAAACCAAGAGTGATTTCGAAGACCAATGAGAACAGCTTCCATAAGTTGGGAAAGCTCGTTTACCAAAAAATGTAGGCAAGCATCTCCATTCCAACGTAAGGGGAAAAATAGGGCCCAATTAAATAATCCCCAATTATGCCTACCCATACGTTAAAAGGGAATCTGTCTAGGAAATGAGTTTGCGTTATCGCATGTGGGTTATCTTCCGCCCAGATGTAGTTGTTGGGGAAGTTCATGATACCATTTCTTGAAACATTAGCCTCATCTGTGAAGAGGATTTTCGATAAAATTTGCGGATGTTGTTCGACTTTTCTTTGAACCCATTGAGCAAATTCGATACGTGGTTGGAAAACACGTAGCGTAAGTGCCTGGATACGCTGAATATGGATATAATTGCTGTTCCTTCAAAATTCAGTAAACTGTCATGTGACTCACACTTAAAGTTTGACTAATTTTTCTTATATTTGTCTCTGGATGTTCACTAATTTCTTCGAGAACCACCTCCTCCAATTCTACAGTTCTTGTAGTCCCTGGCCGTCCTACTGCAGAATTTGTTTCAAAGCTTCCATATTCAAAAAGTCGCCGGAAAAGATTCGCAAATGTCGCTGCACAAGGAGTCACGCGTTGGGGATACCTTTCCTGATAGATGCGTCTGGCCTCGCTTGAATTTCCGTCAGCCAAACCGTATGCAAAAACCATATCAGCCATTTCAGCATTCGTAAAGTCGAGGATGGTACCAAAAATAACTTTATAAACTCCGAACTGTGAATTTGTCAATTAATAGTTAAGAATGTGCAGCAAACTTCTATTTCTATAAACAAAGTTAGGGCAATTTGAAATAAATAATGACAGCGTACGCAGCGCCTTCTAGATACCATATAAAAATGAATACGAAATTATGTTTTCCCACGTCAAAAAAACCCGGGTACCGAATTTCGTGCAATCAACTTATTTTTTGCAAGAGTTATTTTCAAAAAGAGAACTTCGAGAACTTCGAAACGAAGCATTTTCGGACACAAGTTCTTAAGTTCTTAAAAGTTCTTAAAATTGTCTCAAGAATACGTCACTTGAACATTTCAACGTACTTATGTTACACCCTGTATAGGTGTGTATAGTTTTCTGGTTCGCAAGCTTTCGAGAAGCAGCCTTTGCGATTTCGGTGACATGATTGTGCCAAGACAAATTGGTGTCCATTTCAACCCCCAACAAACTTATCGAAGCAGAAAGCGAAATAGTCTGACCTGACATTCATTATATCAGGTTCGGAGACATTTATCTTCTTGGAGATAACCGATGCCTGGATTTTTGTGGCATTGAATTGAACCTGGTTAATTTCATCCCAATTCGAAATCGCAACCTCCTGCTGCCGGTGAATATGTGCCTCCGTAGCCGATGTCGTGAAATCCAAATGGAATGACGACACAAGTGTGCTGTCGTCAGCAAAACAATATATTGGATTTTCGGTTTTTTCCGCATACGTTGTTGATATACAATAAAAAGGGGGTTGGAGACAATATGGTCACCGGGGAACACCACCGTTAAAGTATTCGAGAGATATCCATCGACAGCCACTTGCAGGGAACTTTTTTTCAGGAAGCTGAACCGCTATACACAGAAATGATCCAACAAGTCATAGCATCGAAGTTTGGCCGGCAAACCCTCATATACCCAAATATACCCAAATATAAGAACCTGCATTGTAATGAATAGCTGAATTAAAAAAAAGAAGTTGATGATAAAATCCAACGAACAAATCTTCACATTTCAAATTAGTTTATATCAGATTATGACAAATATGAAGCAGTATTGAGAGTTCCTCTGCCTTTTTTTATAACACGAAACAGAAGAGGTAGAGGCAAAAAACGAAATTTGACTATTCTGGTTTTTGGCGAATATTTCAAAAACAACCACTAATATTCTCGATCTGACAAGAAATCTTTCTAGTTCCTCAAAATAGAAAACTTTTGTCTAATTCAACTAACCTTGTAGGTCTTACCGTTTCCGGGATCGGCTAAAAAACGGCTTTCATAAGTTAACTTGATTAGCGAAGACTCACTAGTCAAGATGGTGTTGTAAACTTTTTCCAGGATATTCCCTGCAGTTGTAAAGTAAATGTGTCCTTTGAAGAACTACAGATCAATTTGTTTAATATCAACTTTCATTTCTTGAGGTTATTCCATTTATAATTTGTGTAAATTTTTGAAATTGTTACATTCTATTGGTTTTGATTGTTGAAGTTCTCAACATGTTTCCAGGGGAAGAATATCCGGACATGGCTTAGTTCTGAAAATGTGCTTCGTAAGACCGTAAGCAGTATTCTCTGTTATTTTAGAACACCATGGCAGAAAATTCCAGCGCAGAAAACCTAAACAATCAGGAAACAGAGATGGATCTCCTCTCTACGAACATTAAGTACCCGAGGTTCCAGGTCAATAAAGTTGAAAGTGACGACGATCTGGACCTGGATGTTCAGTTACGGATAAGGGTTGATGCAGATGGACAAACAGATGATGAGAATAATATTCACTCTGTCACAGATAGGACAAGGTTGAATAGCGATGTCAAAAGCTTCAGGTGAGTTTCCTTCAAATAATGTCAGTTGTTGATATTTAGTCAGGAGTTTCGATTGGAGTTTTTCAAAAGTACACACACACTAATAATTTCTCTTGTATAAATATAGATAATATACATTCTAGGTATAAATAATGTAAATAGTGTCCATGTGGTATTCATTCTATGATAAAAAATATGAGAAAGTAGAAAAGAACGAGTTTGAAGGCATATTTAGAGACTTGCTTTTCAATTTCTACCCTTAATATTCAACTTCCTGGAAATGAAATTGGAAAATTCTCGTGGTTGAACCCCTATTTGGAGTAGTTCAAATCAGATAGGTTGAATCATCTTCAGAATCTTGAGTAGGAAAAAGGATTAACGTCATTGCGTTTTCAAGTCTCTTGCCCCAATTCATTAATTTTTCGCCAACATTTTCGACTACAATTGTAATAGGATCAGGTAGCTTCTAATTTGATGTGATGTGTTCTCTCAAAGTGGTAGTTTTCCTATCAACTGATCTACATTACATCGTCCTAACGATCATTCAATTAACTTATTGCAGGCACCTGACAAGGGAAGACAAAACTTGTCCAGATTTTTACTACCAATAATAAAACCACTGCAAGGATAAACATCATCTTTTGTGAAGAATTCAAGGCATTTTGACGAACTACTAGGGGCAATCAAAGTCACATAGCAGGATCAACTAATTCTTTTCGAAGTAGAAAGCCTCTAACCCAACGTGCCTGTCGAAGAAGCACTTCAAATCATACAGAGGAAGCTATCGGAAAATGGGGACCTGAAAGATAGAACAAACTTACCGATAGAAGTAATCATTGAATTATTAGGATGTTGTCTACGAAACTGCTACTTCCAACTAAAAGACGAATTCTTTACGCAAGATGAGGGACTGCCAATGGGATCGTCACTTTCACCGGTTATAGCCAACATATATTGGAGTGGTTTGAAACTCTGGTCATTAAAGAATCCCACAAGAAGCCCCGAGTCTGGTTGAGATACGTTGACGACACCTTCATAATATGGAACCAAGGAAATGCAGAACTAGACTGTAGTAGACCGTGCTTTCGGGCTCTAAAATACAAAGGAAGGTCTCGAAAAGAAACAAGACCTTCAACGAAATGGTTATTCCAATGTGATGGTGAAACAGACTTTGGCTAGAAGACTGCAGGATCCTAAAGAGAAGCTGCTACAACCAATACTTGTACTTCCCTATATCAGAGGATTATCGGAAAGGGTAAGAAGAATTGGGTCCAAGTATAACATCAGAACCTGCTTCAGATCTGGGAACACGCCTCACGCAAACCAGGCCACCAAACACGGACTGCGATTCCAAGAATTGTATTTGTCTGATACCCTGCGAGTGCGGAGAATCATACATCGGTGAAACTTAGAGGTCATTGAAAGTTCGCATTGCTGAGAACAAGAAACACACAGAGCGAGGAGAAACCAGCAAATCAGGAATAGAGCATGTTTGGACTCATCAACGTAACATCAAGTGGGCTCAAGCTGAAATCATAAACAAGGACAACTTCGGGTGATAACTGAAGACGATTGTGGATACTAACAATCGAAATGTCGTGAAATAACTTGAATTGGAATCTTTCAATTTTTGATTTTCATTTCTTATGATTTACCTTTTTTTAATTCGTGTTACTAGTTCAATTTTTTAATTTTTTGATTGTTACTTGTATTTTATTTCATTGCCATTTCAGTTTTTTTGCTCAGTATAATTGGTTTTTTTAGCTGATCTTTTTAATTTCATATTGATTATTTCAGTGATTTCAAATCAATTTATATCATATTAGACAATGGAAGTCCAAACCAAAGAAATGCACAACGAAACATCGTCAACCACCTTCAAACAAATGATAGACCTGACCGATAATTGATGAAAATTCATTGAAACATATTCAAAAACACACTTTAGTGTGACATTTCCACTTGAAAGTTTACAAAAACACGACACGTGTTTCGCTATACAATGACATCTTCGGGCGTGCTGCGGTATTGCAAACTATCAAGTTTAAATGTCACATTGAAGTGTGTTTTTTGAATACGATAGATCCACTGATCAGTATATTAAAATTTCATTCGACATTAGCTGTTGACCAGAAAAAAACCGGAGCAGAATATTTCTAGATTACTCCTACTCCACTAGGTTGAGAAAATTTACCATTTTGGTTCCACATGTGACTAAAACTATAGTCCAGACGTCTAGCATGTTTCTTGGGCCAAAGATATATAACGATATGCCAATTGAATTGAAACGGGTTGGCTGTCCTTGTTCATTTTTCATTGCCTGAACCACTGTGCATGCTGTTTTCGGCGAGTGCATTGGCTTGGGATGTGGGAGTTGAGCAAACCGGCCATTGGATGCCTGCTTCCACGTAGCCCCGCTGGATACGGGAATGGCAGAATCACTTGTGGTTCTGTTATTCCCTAACTGAATGGCATTCAGTTACGGAATAACAGAATAACAATAACTGACGCTGAGTCTATAGAAGAGATAGATGTCGAGCCTACGACTCCAACTGACCTCCCTGTAAACTTAGATCAGGAGCGATTCTACAGAGGAAATGGATGTCGAGTTTACGACTCCAACTGACCTCCATGTAAATTTAATTCAGGAGCGAGTCTACAGAGGAAATGGATGTCGAGTTTACGACTCAACTGACCTCCCTGTAAATTTAATTCAAAGGGAGCGAGTCTACAGAGGAAATGGATGTCGAGTTTACGACTCCAACTGACCTCCCTGTAAATTTAGTTCAGGAGCGAGTCTACAGAGGGGATGGATGTCGAGTTTATGACTCCAACGGACCTCCCTGTAAATGTAGTTCAGCTGCGGCGTACGCAGAATCTGTCTCAGGTGGGGGAACAAACCCCCCATGAGCAGGTTAGCAAACGTTTGCGCTCAAGTGATGATTCACCAAAACCAGAGGCGAAAGAGCCCTGGACGGCTGAATCTAAGGCATCGTCAAGTGTAGCTGACGTGCAAAAACCCTCATATGGGAATGTTGTCGTGGGTATCAAAGTGGGAATCTTGCAACTTGACTATCCAACTACCTCATTAACAGAGCATATACTTTGTGCCTGCCCCGCTAGGGATAGAATCAGGTCTTTAGAGTTCGGCAGAGCTGTAATCTTATCATCTGACCTGAAAGACCACTCACCATACAAACTAATCGTCTTCGTTAAGAAGCTGAGTTTGTTTGGCCGAGTGAGAATAGGTGTGAGCCACAATAAACCCTTGCGGGCTGCGGTGGAGGGTCGAATAGATCCACTCACTTTGGACCTATACTAACTGAACTCATTATCTCTGTTCAAGAAGAAGCTGAAATTATGGCTGATTTCAAGATCAAGATTTGTTACACATCGATTAATGGATACAAAAATCCATATTATGATACTGATTAAGTTGACGCTAACTACAATAATTACTTTTAGACACTCGTGTGATACTTTTTTGTGGAAATCTGAGGCATGCCATCATCACAAAACTTGTCCAGATTTTTACTACCAATAATAAAACCACTGCAAGGATAAACATCATCTTTTTTGAAGAATTCAAGGCATTTTG